AAGCCCCTCAAAATCCTCCCCAGCCCCTCCTCAACCCCCTTTTCCCGCTTTTCCAGGGCTCTTCCAACTCCTACGCCATCAAGAAGAAGGATGAGCTGGAGCGTGTGGCCAAATCCAACCGTTAGAGACCCCCTGGAACGGGGGACCCCTCCCCAAATAAATCCATGTGTTCTCTGATCCCCCCCGCCTGTCCTGGGGGTCAATTCCCAACCCCCTCCCAAAAATTCAGAATCTGGGAATTCCTTGTGCCTGGAATTCGGGGTCTGGGGGGGTGTTTTGGGGGCATTTTTAGGGATATTTGGGTGTTAAATCCAACTCCCCTCCCAGAAAACCCAGACTCTGGGAACACCCAAAATCTGGGACCACCCTTTCCCAAACCACTTCCCAACCCATCCCAGAATTCCTGAGGCCCTTAAAACTCTGGGATGTGGCTCTGGGACCCCCCAAATCCCAATCCAGACCCCCCACCAATCCCTCTGGATCCCGTCTTCCCTGGAAAACACCACAGGAGACACTTGGGAAGAAGGAAAAGAGTCCGGTTTTCCCAGTAAAGTGCGGCTGTACAGGAGGGGCCGGACCCGGATACAACAGTCTGGGAATTCGGGAATTCTCTGGACACGTGGAATTCCATCCAGATGATCCCACTGGATCCACCCCCATCCCAAAAACCCGCCCTCTGGATCCGTCCCATTCCCGAGGGATTGGGAACAACACCCTGCGTGGATTCAAAGCCGGGCTTGGAGACAAAGCCCGGACCTAAAACTTTGGGGATTCCCAGGGAATTCCCATGGGATACAACCCTGGAATGGGATCCCAGGGTCAGGGAGCTACAGGGGATTATGGGGATTCCTGGGATGGGGAAGAGGGGGAGGGATGGGAATTGCTACGGGTGGAGAGGGGGTGGGAAGGCACCAGGAGTGGTGTGGGATGAGTAGGATTTGTGGGATCACTGGGGGTTTTGGGATGAGTGTGGGATTTATGGGATCACTGTGGGATTTCTGGGAATGCTGTGGGATTTATGGGATCACTGTAGGATTTTTGGGATAACTGTGAGGTGTTTGGGATAACTTGAGGGGGTCTGGGGATGATTGTCAGGTTTTTGGGATAACTGTAGGTTGTATGGGATAACTGTAGGATTATGGGAATGCTGTGGGATTTCTGGGATAACTGGGCATTGACTGTAGAGGAGATCAGGACAACCCTTGGGGAATTTTGGGGGGTCTTCCCACTTTTCCAACTCATCTCCTGCTCCTCCCTCTTTATTTAAGCCCCACCCCTTATTTAAGCCCCTCCCACGCCGCTTTTCCACCTGATCCCAGGAAACACCTGGAACCCCGGGAAAGGTGGAGAACACCCCAAACCAGCACAATTATCCCAAAAACCTCATTAATAATTGGTCAAAGAGGCCCCGCCCCCGGTCCAAGCCCCGCCCCCGGGGCGGGGTCACTTGTAGAGGAGGTGGACGCGGCTCCCGTCGCAATTCCCGCGTCCCAACTTCTCCGCCTGCTCGGACACGAGGCAGCGCACCAGGGGCAGGTTGGGTTGGTAGAAGGGGGGTCCCGTCCCCCCTCCCCCGCCCGGGGGGGCCGCGGGGGCTCCCCCCGATCCCGGCGGGAAGTGGTTGTTGTCGCCGTTCTCCCGGGAGGGGTTGGACGGGCGGCGGCGGGAGCGGAGCTGCTGCCGGTCCTGGAGCTGCTGCCGGAGCTCCGACACCCGCTCTTCCTTCTGGGAACGGGAACGGGAATGCCCCTCAGCAGGGCCCCCCCGACCCTCAGATCCCGTCTGACGTCCTCAAACCACCATTTTAGGGTCGCAATCCCATTCTGGGTCCCCCAACCCCATTTAGGGTCCCCCAACCCCTTTTAGGGTCCCCTAAACCCCATTTGGGGTCCCAATCTCATTCTGGGTCCCCCAAACCCCAAACTGGGGTCCCCCAACCCCATTGAGGGTCCCCTAAACCCCATTTGGGGTCCCAATCTCATTCTGGGTCCCCCAAACCCCAAACTGGGGTCCCCCAACCCCATTGAGGGTCCCCTAAACCCCATTTGGGGTCCCAATCTCATTCTGGGTCCCCCAAACCCCAAACTGGGGTCCCCCAACCCCATTGAGGGTCCCCTAAACCCCATTTGGGGTCCCAATCTCATTCTGGGTCCCCCAAACCCCAAACTGGGGTCCCCCAACCCCATTGAGGGTCCCCTAAACCCCATTTGGGGTCCCAACCCCTATTTGGGGCCCCCCAATCTCCCCTTTGGGGTCGTCTCCCCCCCGGACCTCGGCGATGATCTTCTCCAGCTCCCGGTTCTCCTTCTCCAGGAGCCGGGATTTCTCCTCCTCGTTGTTGTTGGTGGAGGATCCCGTTTTCATGGTGTCCTGCTGCTCCGACTGCCACTCCCCCCGCGTGATCAGGCGCCGCATCTGCATTTATGGGATTTATGGGATTGACCCCAAAACAATGACTGTGGGGTCCACGGGGTGTGGGGGGGTCAATAGGATGGTTCGAGGATCAGTGGGATGGCTGTAGGGTCAATGGGATCACTGTAGGGTTCACGGGATCACTGTGGGGTTTATGGGATCACTGTGGGGTTTTGGGTCACTGCAGGGTTTGGGGATCACTGTGGGGTCTGTGTAGTCACTCTGGGTTCAGTGGGGTCACTGTAGGATTTATAGGATCTCTGTAGGATCTGTGGGATCTCTGTAGGATCTATGGGATAACTGTAGGATTTATGGGGTCACTGTAGGATTTTGGGTCACTTCAGGGTTTTGGGGTCACTGTGGGGTCTCTGTGGTCGGTCCCAAGCCCACCTTGGGCACGAAGAGCACGACGAGGGTGATGTAGGACGAGAAGACGACGGCCAGCGCCGCGAAGGCGAAGGCGGCGTCCTGTTGGCTGCTCAGGATCATCGTCACCGGCGCCGTGATGAGGCAAAGCACCTGGGGGGGGGTTGGGGTCACTCTGTGGGATTTGGGGTCACCCCACGGGGGGTTGGGGTCACCCTGTGGGATTTGGGGTCACCCCACGGGGGTTTGGGGTCACCCTGTGGGATTTGGGGTCACCCCACGGGGGTTTGGGGTCACCCTGTGGGATTTGGGGTCACCCCATGGGGGTTTGGGGTCACTCTGCGGGATTTGGGGTCACCAGGTGTGATTTGGGGTGGTTTGGGGTGTTTTTTACCGCCACGTTGTAGATGGCCATGCCGACGGCACGGTGGTCGTTGATCTTCTCGGTGGAGACGCTCTTGGTCTCGTAGGCCAAGAAGATCCCGAGGAGGAGCAGGAGACCCTTGAACCCATAAAAAATCCCTGGAAAAAGGGGGGGGGAAATGGGATTGGGGGGTCAAACAGGGACCCCAGAACCTCACTGTGCCCCCCAAATCCTCCCT